ACAAACACGGGAGTGGACTTCGCTGGTCCACTCTATGTTACGTGTGATTCGAAAACGAATGTCAAATGTTACTGTTGCTTGTTTACTTGTGCATCAACGCGTGCTATCCATCTAGAACTTACTAGAGACTTGAGTGCATTATCATTTCTACAGGCGTTTAGGCGGTTCACAGCCCGTCGTGGATTACCAGCGAAGCTACAATCAGACAATGCAAAAACCTTTAAAGCGTCGTCGGTAAATATCAGGAAGATTATGCAAGCGGCCGAAGTCAAGACTGATCTGGCAAACAAGCAAGTAGTTTGGGACTTTATCGTTGAGAAAGCCCCATGGTGGGGTGGATATTGGGAGCGTTTAGTGCGAAGCGTCAAGTCATGCTTAAAGAAGTCTGTAGGACGATCTTCGTTGAACTTTGAAGAATTACGCACGTTAATGGTTGAAATCGAGTGCACCTTAAATAACAGGCCCATGACCTATGTGTACGCAGATGACGAAGGTCTATCTTATTCTCTTACACCGGCGGACCTGGTGTACGGACGGCATGGGCGTACCGGAAGGAAAAAATTAAGGGGGCGGATAGAAATTTGCCCGACTTTTCGGGATTTTGCCCGACTATTACCCAAAAAAAATTTTCCGGAAAATGTTTTCTTGCGACCTCCCCCCTCGTACGAACAGTTATAAGTAATATGAGCAAGGACTCTTTAATGTTAACATAATTACATTCAAATTTTGTTGGACTTTTGATCACCTGATGGAGATCAACCCCCGGGAGTGTAACGTAGATTATTAGTTTAAGCGATATTTTTGTCGCGATTATTTTGTGTTGTTATTGCCCGTATAATTTTCGCGCGTTTTAGAATAAATTAATTACATATTCATAACAACTATGTTTAAATAGGCGATTCCCAAGACGTACTTTGGATAGTTTGGAGGACGCGGAAATTTTCACCATCTTTGATCTAAAATAACCAAGTCAATAACATTTCGATTTATGGAGAAAAGATATCAGGAGAAAGTTCCATATATTCTAAAAACATAGATTGTAACAGCAGACCAAAACTTATAATGCGCGCTAAGCACAGCACATGATGTTGACTGCTTTATATAGCGACATTTCTTAGACATTTCGCGTCATTTTTGGTTCGATTTTTGAAGTACTCTAACTTTTCTTCATTTTGTGTTTTATGGCTGAAACTTCAGTAAAAGTGTGGGGTTGGATAGGTCTACAATATATATAAAATCGAAGGAAATTGAAGAACTTTCAGTTTTTCATATCTGCCAGAAAATGGCGAATTATTGCGATTTTTACAGACAAGCTCTCTTAAGTAGGTTGCATGACGTATCTAGTTCGGTCAATTCAAAAGTCTCTAGGTCTGTACCAAACTCATCATTGTTGAATGGGTTGCTAGACATATATATATATATATATATATATATATATATATATATATATATATATATATATATATATATATATATATATATATATATATATATATATATATATATATATATATATATATAGTGTGTGTTTTGTTATTGTTCACTCGGTCGTATGATAAAGAGAAAATGTTATCGAGTGAAAATTTCATAATTGATCTCTTAATATATGTTTTCTAATATTTTCTAGGTCATATACCTGACAGATGTTTCCAATTCGATTTACTCGGAAAAGACATATCATAAAGATAATTTTTGTTGTTGCTTTATTTCTTATACTTCTTAATGAAATAACTAGAAGGACATCAAGCCCATCTTATCTTTATGGTTCACAAAGAAATAAAGCATATAATCAGACATGTGACATACCAGTAACAAACAACCAAACCTCGTTGGCACACAGATTTCCACACATAATAATAATTGGTTTTGGTAAAACAGGAACACGTGCTCTGTATCAAATGATTCGTTTACACCCTGATGTTATTGGTCCCTCTGATGAAGTACGGTTCTTCTCTAATGACCAAAAGTACAAACAAGGAATATATAGATACCTCAGGTTAATGCCACCTACCACTGTAACACAAAGAACTATAGAAAAGAGTCCAGATTACATAATTAAACCTGGCACAGCTGAACGATTGAAGAAGGCACTTTATCATTGTCATCGTAGTGATGACATAAAATTCATTGTTGTGTTAAGGGAGCCATTCAAACGAGCAGTTTCTGAATATTTGGAGTGGAAATTATATGTACACCATCACATGGGGAAAACACTTGATGATTTTGAAAAATTGGCCATTAAAGAAACTGGTGAAGTTAACAACTTTCATTCACAGGTAAAACTATTACGACCCTTGGTGTAGTTTCTATCTTTCATGCTGGGTTTCAACACGTCAGACGCTGTTTCTAAAATCTGCTGCATCCTTTCAGATCATTATGGTTGTAACAAGATGTTGACATTTCTTGATAAAAACATCACAAATTGTCGCATCATTGCAATTGCAAACTTGATACAAGGTTGTTCAAACAATCCGATATCAGCTAATTGTTTCCACATTATACCTCGCTGATGATTGCACAGCGCTGTTACAGGGTTGTTCCAACAAGCTGATATCAGGTTTTGTTCTCAATATTTTTTCCCAGCATGTTGATAACGTGATACAAGGCAGACATCTCACAAGGGTCTTCCCATTCAGATTTCATTTGCATGCAGCGATTGTTCTCAGTTTGTTAACAAATTATTACGAACTTCATGATTCAGAAGACTTTACGAGAGTATCTTTGCTCTGTTTGTTCCCACCTTATGTACAATATGCTCGAAGCCAATGAACATTGGATTGATAGAGCATTGGAGCATTGGACTAGCAAACCAAAGTTCCCTTTCCACCGCGGTCAAGCAAACGTTTCAGCTTGCCCTGTGTTCCTTCATGAAATTCAACTACGTCACCACGTATTGGTATTGGCGTATGTCAGTGACAACATTATATAAATGCTTGGTGAAATAATAACAACTTGTTGACAAACTTGGAACATTTTGGTTGTTTACGTGCTTGCTTAGTGTAAGGAAACAACCCGTTACTTTATTTTTTAAAAATTTTGCCAGCTAATTTTCTCGACTTTGAGACGTTGGACGTTCTTATTAATAAAAATTCGACTCTTATGTTTGCAGGTAAATACAAGTATTTATTCATATCATATAAAGAAGTGGCTGAAAATATTTGACATAAACAAAATATGCTTTGTTGATGGTGATGCTCTTGTCAAGGAGCCTTACTCTGTTGTGAAGAAGTTGGAGAAATGTTTAGAACTTCGCGACTTTATCACATCTAAACACTTTTACTACAACAAGATGAAGGGATATTATTGTCCTGTGAATGAGCAAAGAATTGCAAATTGTCTTGCTTCCAGCAAGGGAAGAACTCATCCAAATATTGACAAAGACGTTGAGATGAAACTAAGAAAGTTTTATGAACTCTACAACAAAGAACTGTATAATATAACTGGGATAAATTTTGGATGGTAATGCCCAACTACTGTAAAGGCCATGCTACACTAGCCTGCACGAGGTTTGCTGCAACTAATTGCGATGCAATTTTACAGAGCCAATGAGTGAGCCATGTTATGTAACAAGAAGTTACGGAGAAATTTGAGCATGGCCCGCATTCTACTCTACCGAAACTTTCTTTACATAATATACTCTTACGGGACAAGGAATGAAATGAGAAATGGAACCGGACGAAACATGTCGGCAGAATAAACTGTGAGCCATGAATCCCATGATCACAATTATCAGGATTTTGGGCATCTCCATTTCCACTCAAGAAAATTTTCCACGGACAGAAATTTTTCCGAAAACATCATTGTTAAAAGTTAACTTCAAAAATTTTTCCGACGGAAAATTTGTGTCGACCAATCACATTTTACAAATTTTTCTTTCCGTGGAAAATTTTCCTGCGTGGCCTTGAAGGCCCATTTCCACTCAGGAAAATTTTCCTGCGTGGCCTTGAAGGCCCATTTCCACTCAGGAAATTTTCCGCGGAAAGAAAATTTTGTGAAATGTGATTGGCCGACACAAATTTTCCGTGGGAAAAAATTTTGAAGTTGAAAATTTTCAACTTTTAAGAATGATATTTTCGGGAAAATTTTCTGTCCGTGGAAGTTTTTTTTGAGTGGAAATGGGCCGTTAGGGTTAGGATTAGGGTTATTATAATTGCATGTAAACCCAATACAAGTTATACAACACAATACTTTATTGCATACAATCGCTTTACAATTACAATAAATTATTGGTTTATTGCGACCACGCTGTTTGAGGCGGAGCAAGCAGTCTAGGGGCCGTTTGTTCAAAGCTGGATTAGCGCCTGTAAAATTTAACCTGCTGTTTTAGTTTCTGTATTTCTGCACATCTATTTGTTTCAAAACTTCAGAGAAGAAAACTCCCATTGGTCCAGACAAGATTTATGAAGAAAAGTTTCCAAGTTTAGAAACAAGTTGTTGGGAAGTTAATTTGCTTTGAATTTTAACCTAGGGCTAAGCTAACTGGCTTTTGAACCCGGCCCTAGGTATATATATGTCAATGGGTTTCGCTCATTGGAAACTTGGTCTGATTGGACGCGTAAAGGCTGAGTAAATCCATTTACCAAGTCAAATCCGAGTTCTTATCTCATACCTAGCGTATTGGCGGCTTTCCTACGACGAGGTGCGTTTAATCTCGGACCCACCTGCTGACGTATGTTTAGGAGGTGGGTTCGAGATCGATGTTTCGGCGGCGGCCATTATGAAGCGATTTGAACAAATTTCAGACGAATATTTAAATAAAAAATAAATTAATTGTTTTACCATTATTCATTTTTTATTTTGTTTTATGAAAATGGAATATTCTGTATTCAAAGTGGAAGAGAAGAAAGGTGGCCGCCGAAATTTGTTCGGCACGGGCACGGCCAGGTTTATATATAGTAAATCTTTGGAATGTTTTCGCAGAATGTGTGCATTTTCTCTTTTCAAGAATAAGGGAATATTGTAGAGAATTTTTTTAGCTTCAATTTAAGCCTATGTTTGTTTACGTAGTATGTTGGCGGCTAAAATGTTTGTTATCCAAACAAGAAATTATATACTAAAATGCGTAAATTCTTCAGTACTTTTTACCGAAATGGCATGTGATAAAAACCAAACTATTTGCAGGTTCGGTGAGTCCGGGATTGGACGCACCTCAGGTGGCTGGAAGTTTCCCGAACCCACCTCGCTTCGCTCGGTAAGTTCGGGAAACTTCCAGCCACCCTCGGTGCGTCCAATCCCGGACTCACCTCCCTAGTCCCTGCAAGTATCCATGTTTGTTATAGGGTATACGTACTAAGTCATTGAACCGACAAAGACAGTTAAACGGTGACTTGGACATTTGACTGAGACTCCAATTTGACTCGGTTAACCGACAAACTCCGAAATTGAATAAAATTCACAGTCGAATAGGGTTAGGGTACGTTAGGAGTAGGGTTAGGGTTAGGTTTAGGAGGTTAGGATTAGAGCACTAAGTTATTGAACTACAAAGACCACTAAACAGTGCATGACCCGGACATTTGACTCGGGCTCGGATTTGACTCGGTTAACGGAAGGCTGGTTTGATCGTTATTGGGAACGAGGTTGTCACGCATGAATCATACTACCCACCGGTATACGGGAAGGATTTATAATAACGAGACATGCAAAGAGCGGCAGCAGGGAGCTTAGGCTTGTTTTATACGTCGAATTTTGGTCGCGTCGAATGCAATTAAGACAATTGATAATGATATGATAAACCTCATTAAGCTTCATTATCTATTGTTTGAATTGCATTCGACGCGACCGAAATTCCACATATATAATCAGCCTTAATTAACAGACCGTTCCTGGAGCTACTTCGCCTTGGCTATAGAGCGTCGTTTTCATAGGATATCGGCATTAGGGCGCTCTATCTGATGACCTAATTATATCCAGTTATTTTTTATTATTTAGTATAACTGTGCGATTTCGCCAATGTCTCACCTGTAACAAGGCTCTAGATCCAATATCTCAAAATACGAAAACGAAGCTCCATAGCACAGTGTCCATATCAGGCCCATGTAAGGTCAATCTCGTTCCCCGAGCCTGCGATCCTCGGGAAGGAATCGAAGGCTCTGGGATAATCCGTTACCGGAAGCCAAGAATCCTGGCTAAGATTGAACTACGCATTCCATTTCAATGGCCAATCAGATTCCTCCCTGAAACGGATTATCCCAGAGCCTCGCGTTCCTTCCCGAGGATCGCAGGCTCGGGGAACGAGATTGATGTAAGGTAATCCATGCACAACCTCGTACCCAGGGCTTCTGCGCTTATTGCTCTCAGAAGCCCTGGGATAATCCAAACCGGAACACCATAAAACAGTGGTGCCCCCGGAAGCGGAAGTAAACAGTAGCTCCAGCTAAAAACGCTGACTGGGCATATTTTTACGCAAGGAGTGAGAATGGATTATTTGTTGCAATTTATGATATATTTGGACTTGTAAAGACGTCTTAAACTGGCGTGGCTTTTGGAATTTAAAGTCAGGAATGATCAATTTAGAGATACAATTATGCGTAAAATTAGCCCTTTGGCGAGCAAAAGAACATCTTATATCGCGACAACAGCATACCTTGTCAGCGATATACAGGGGCTATTAAATAATTAAAGTATAAATATTTATATTCGAGTACAACCTTGGTCATTTCAAAATTAACAGACTAGAAATCTTACTGGTAACATGGCTGGCTGCCGATTATCTTGGATTTGAGGGTTTTGAACAAGATATTGCAAGATTTAATTATAAATGCACAGGATATACTGTACTGTAAACATGCATCTACTTGAAGAATGTAAAATGAACAGTGATGAGTGATGTAATATAATTCTGTACTTTAATATTTGGAAAACCTTTTTGGCAAATCTTGAAAATAATGGCTTTGGGAATCAATGTTGAAAATTAAAAACTGTCAGATAGCTGCATGGACAGCATGGTTAGAAGCATACATGTCATCGGATGAAACTCCAACTTTTGTTAATTGCTGATGTTCTAGTATTGGAATGAACAGTGTTATAAGAACCAATGGTGCTGAAATAATTTGGGTTTATTATAAAATATTGTTTATCATTTAGTTCTGGCCATTAACCTTACCTATTAAGTTATAGTGTGTGTTTTTTTTTTTTTTT